TGTTTGTTACGATATGTAATATTCATCTCGTGCATCACGTCCCCAAATATGTCAATGGGACATCACGTGATTCCATGTACCGACTTCCTGAGTAAAACCAACCTCAAGCAGACGCCTCCTGTGATCCTTAAAGGGGCACTGATCTAACGCCATTCCCCGGACTGGTTGTTGCCTTTGTTATTGTTTTTTCCCCCGTGAGTACCCGGATGATACGCAACGCAACTGAGCGTGACCAGAGACTGGGCTACCGTCTGCAAGGACAGTTAAATAAACTTGGAGGCCGGAGGCAATATTTGTTTTACGCATTTTTGAACGCTGATTGGTTAACTGTGATCTATAAAGATTTCGACAATGGACGCATGTTAATTAATTTCTTCAGCCTAAACAAACAGACAAAAATAACGGCTTAGCTCATAGGATGTCGTCATTTGGAAATACCCCAGATGGTTATAGTCTAATAATAAAAAAAGTATCCATGCAGTGAAAGCATTTTCGGATTTCGGACTGCGTCGATAATATGATTACTACTCCTTTGTTGTCATCCACGTTTTCTGGTATAACCCTACACTTGTATATTTGTCGTCATTCACTTGATGCTCAGTTAATGAATTTATTACAGGTACAATTAGTGGTAGCACCACTTAGATTACCTGACAAAGGTTACCATTTGGCATTTATTGTGTCTGGGGTAATTATTCAATCTAAATTCAGGTTTGATGTGAGGTGAAAGGCGTGTTATGTAATATGCGCGTGGCAGCCCAGCAAGAGGTGAATGATCAGTTGATTTATTTTTTTTTGTAAATCAACGGATCGTTCCTAGTCATCAAAGGATTAACAGAAAATACGTTGATTGATTAATCACTGTTATCTTGCACAGTGGGTATGTCAAAAGTGAGTGTTTACATGTCAAGGTTTACTAAAACAAAGGGAATACACACATATCATGGCGTGAAGTGCCAATGTAAAAACAACATACTTTGTTCAAAGGGTTAACTGATAATACGTTGATTGACTGCTCATTGTTATCTATCACTCCATGTATTTTTTTAGGAACTGTGGACGTTAAAGGGGCACTGATCTAACGCAATTCCCCGGACTGGTTGTTGCCTTTGTTATTGTTTTTTCCCCCGTGAGTACCCGGATGATACGCAACGCAACTGAGCGTGACCAGAGACTGGGCTACCGTCTGCAAGGACAGCTAAATAAACTTGGAGGCTGGAGGCAATATTTGTTTTACGCATTTTTGCATAAACACTGATTGGTTAACTGTGATCTATACAGATTTCGACAAAGGGCGCATGTTAATTAATTTCCTCAGCCTAAACAAGCAGACAAAAAGAACAGCGGAGCTCATCGGATGTCGTCATTTGGAAATACCCCAGATGGTTATAGTTTTATACTAAAAAAAAAGTATCCATGCAGTGAAAGCATTTTCGGATTTCGGACTGCGTCGATAATATGATTACTACTCCTTTGTTGTCATCCACGTTTTCTGGTATAACCCTTCACTTGTGTATTTGTCGTCATTCACTTGATGCTCAGTTAATGAATTTATTACAGGTACAATTAGTGGTAGCACCACTGAGATTACCTGACAAAGGTTCCCATTTGGCATTTATTGTGTCTGGGGTAATTATTCAATCTAAATCCAGGTTTGAAGTGAGGTGAAATGTGTGTTATGTAATATGCACGTGGCAGCCCAGCAAGAGATGAATGATCAGTTGATTTATTTTTTTGTAAATCAACGGAACGTTCCTAGTCATCAAAGGATTAACAGAAAATACGTTGATTGATTAATCACTGTTATCTTGCACAGTGGATATGTCAAGAGTGAGTGTTTACATGTCTAGGTTTACTAAAACAAAGGGAATACACTCATACCATGGCGTGAAGTGCCGATGTAAAAACAACATACTTTGTTCAAAGGGTTAACTTATAATACGTTGATTGATTGATCATTGTTATCTATCACTAAATGGATTTTTTTAGGAACCGTGAACGTTATGAAAATAATTGTCACGTGGGCTTTCTCAGCCGACCCTTGAGACTTGACACCTATGTAAAACACCTGAAACAATCCAAGTGATCAGTTGAGAAACGAACACGGGTTATAATATCCCGAAACGACATATATCTTTTAAAATATCTGATTGTTACTGAGACACGTGACATCGAATAAGTTTCTTTGTACATCTGCAGACGAGTGGGATATTGTTCCTTTGTGTGGATATTCACGGATACATTCCTCGAACAAGGACGCTGCCTAAAATTTATACACATAAATTTGGTAGGTTGTAATTATGATATTTGCATTTTGTTTTCCTTCCTTTGAACCGATTCGTTCTTGTTTCTCTACGTCTTGGTTGGGAAATTCTTCAATGCGCGATAGACGTTGTTTTCACAGGTCTGTTCCTTTGTAAGCGTGTATATATTACCGTCAATTTGTAAAATGTGATTCTCTCAGGCAATTTATAAAATGTGTAAATATTTCCGTCATTTTGACTAAAAAATCTGTCCAGATTGATTAAGACGATCAAAAGGGCCTGCAAACATCACAACAGATTATTATGTAGGATTAGAAGCCAAACAACATAGAAATGTACTTTTCTCAACGTAACATTTTCAGTCTCTTGGTGATGACATTAAACATCAAAATGTTTGGAATTCGTTATCATAATAATACAGATGGAAATGTTTTTCAGTCACTTTGTAAAATAACTGAATATTTAGACCTTTTAATAAATTTGTTACACATTTGACAGTAAAAAAAATACACACTATAAAAAAAGCAATGCTCAGGTGAAATATGTACTTTGTGCTGCAAGTCAAAATAGTGTAAACGAAAATCGCAAAATTACCAAGCAAGTGACTTATCAAAACTTCGTCACCATTACCGATGCTACCCACAAAGATACCTACAGTTCCTTATTATCTCGAAAACTCTATTTCATTTTGTTGATCAATGTGGCCATAGCCCTTATTACTACGTATAAAAGTGACTAATGCGCTTACGAATGGCGCAGCAGAGGTCGCGAACTAGTCTAGATTTCTGCTATACATCCGGGTACTCACTGGGAAAAAACAATAACAAAGGCAACAACCAGTCCCGGGGAATTGCGTTAGATCAGTGCCCCTTTAAGAAAATAGTTGTCACGTGGGCTTTCTCAGCCGACCCTTGAGACTTGACACCTATGTGAAACACCTGAAACAATCTAAGTGATCAGTTGAGAGACGAACACGGGTTATAATATCCCGAAACGATATATATCTTTTAAAATATTTGATTGTTACAGAGACACGTGACATCGAATAAGTTTCTTTGTACAGGTGAGGACAAGTGGGATATTGTTCCTTTGTGTGGATATTCACGGATACATTCCTCGAACAAGGAGGTTGCCTAAAATTTATACACATAAATTTGGTAGGTTGTAATTATGAAATCTGCATTTTGTTTTCCTTCATTTGCTGTAGCATTGAACCGATTCGTTCTTGTTCCTCTACGTCTTGGTTGGGAAATTCTTCAATGCGCGATAGACGTTGTTTTCACAAGTCTTTTCTTTTTTAAGCGTGTATATATTACCGTCAATTTGTAATATGTGATTCTCTCAGGCAATTTATAAAATGTGTAAATATTTAAATCATTTTGACTGAAAAATCTGTTCAGATTGACTAAAATTGATTAAGACGATCAAAAGGGACTACAAACATCACAACCGATTATTATGTAGGATTAGAGTGAGTGAGTGAGTATAGTTTTACGCCGCTTTTAGCAATATTCCAGCAATATCACGGCGGGGGACACCAGAAATGGGCTTCACACATTGTACCCATGTCGGGAATCGAACCCGGGTCTTCGGCGTGACGAGCGAACGCTTTAACCACTAGGCTACCCGACCGCCCATGTAGGATTAGAAGCAAAACAACATAGAAATGTACTTTTCAACGTAACATTTTCAGTCACTTGGTGATGACATTAGACATCAAAATGTTTGGAATTCCTTATTATAATAATACAGGTGGACATATTTTTCAGTCACTTTGTAAAATAACTGAATATTGAGGCGTTTAATAAATTTTAAAAATGTTACACGTTTTGACAGTAAAAGAAATATACACACTATAAAAAATACAATGTTCAGGTGAAATATTTACTTTGTGTTGCAAGTCAAAATAGTGTAAACGAAAATCGCAAAATTACCAAGCAAGTGACTTATCAAAACCTTGTCACCATTACCGATGCTTCCCACAAAGATACCTACATTTCCTTATTATCTCGAAAACTGTATTTCATTTTGTTGATCAATGTGGCCATAGCCCTTATTACTACGTATAAAAGTGACTAATGCGCTTACGAATGGCGCAGCAGAGGTCGCGAACTAGTCTAGATTTCTGCTATACATCCGGGTACTCACTGGGAAAAAACAATAACAAAGGCAACAACCAGTCCCGGGGAATTGCTTTAGATCAGTGCCCCTTTAAGTTATGCATCATTCTCGAATACAACAAAACGCATAACGAAACAATGTTGACATAAACGCGTGTGGTTTCAAGAAAAGATGAATGGGAGAGCGGACCGTGACGTCACACGCAGTTCATTGTTTACTGAATTACGCATGCATGTCAATGGGGATTCTAATGACCAGTTAAACGAGCACTGATTACATGTGATAGCGCCTGTGGTCCAGTGGTAGAGCGTCGGCTAATTAACGCATTAACGCATTAATTAGCAGAGCCGGTGAGCCGTCGAAGCGCGTTCTAGCCCCCACAGCTCTAATTGGATCTGAAAAAGTGCGCCCGGTGCGCACTTTTTCAGATCCAATTAGAGCTGTTGGGGCTAGAACTACTGACAGGAGTAGTGCACTTTACCGGGCGCACTTTTTCAGATCCAATTAGAGCTGTTGGGGCTAGAACGCTGCTAATTAATGGTTAACGGTGCCCTGCATGGAACTATGGCCTGTCCGGATTTTACTGCACAACGCACTTCCGTTAGTAAATGGCTGACTGCCGAACCTAGCTCTCTCCTCTCTCACTCTCTTGCTTTGATATGGGTTTTACACCCCCACAAGCTATTGAAACATGGTGGCAGCGGAAAAGAACTATATTAGTCACTGTGTGGTTTGTGTTTAACCCTACTTTTCATTGACAAATGACTCTCTGTGCCGAACTAACACCCGGCGGTTTACCGTGTGTAGAAAAAAACACGTGGATCGAGCGTGTTGCATATTCAAGGATCAAGTGGTACATACTGATTGAATCTGACTGGATTATTGACATAAACTGTTATCTTTATCTTACTTGAAACATTTAAATTCAAGTCAATAAAATGAATTCTAACTCTGACATTTGAAAATGTCATCTGACGAATCTACGGAAGCTCAGTCTAGTCAAAATATGGCGACTACTGTCAATGATGCGAGTCATATTAGACCGCCTGAACCTCTGAAATTAGGGGATGATCCTGTTAAAAACTGGACATTATGGAAACAAATGTGGGGCCATTACTGTGTAATCACCGGTAAGAGTGATGAAACTTGTAATATGAAAATCTTCAGATCTTACTTAATTTCTACTATGGGAGTAGAAGGACTACAAATCTACAACTCATGTGATCCTTCAGAAACTGACTCTGTAAAGAACATTATTGAGAAGATTGATTCACACATTCTTGGTGAAAGCAATGAGACTTTTGAAAGATACAAGTTTAATACTAGAAGTCAGCAACCAAATGAGAATGTTGATACTTATGTAGCAGCTATTAAGCAGCTTATGAAAACTTGCAACTTTTGTAATTGCCTTAGAGACTCTCTTACTAGGGACAGAATTGTTCTGGGCATATCTGATGCCAATACTCGTAAACGCTTACTTCAGGAGCGCAACCTGACACTTGCAAAATGCATAGACATTTGTCGAAGTCATGAAAACACAGCATCTCAGTTGAAAGTAATAACAGCAGAAGTAAACAAAGTCACAAGACAAACACCACACGTCAAAATATCACAGAGAAAGCAAACAACATAATAACCCCAAACCTGCTTACAGAGGTACACACAACAGTCAAAGGTCAAATACTTACCAGGGACAACAGCCACGACTAAACACCTGCAAGTTTTGTGGTAGAGAACATGTATTTTGCAAAGAACTTTGTCCAGCATGGGGAAAGACCTGTAAGTTATGCAAGAGACAAAACCACTGACATATGTTGCACATTCAGCCAGAAACCTGTTCATGGGGTACAAGTCCAAGATGATTGCTCTCACAATACAGATGTATCAGAAGATGGCTAAGTATTTACTCTCTCAGAAATACAGACAGTTGTCAACAAAGTTAACACACCAGATACAGATCTTATCTTAGCGAATATGATTGTTGATGACAAGAAAACAGTGACATTCCAAGCTGACTGTGGCTCAACAGTGAACATTATCCCTGTCAAGTTTGTGAACTGTGCATTACAGGACAGTGAAACACAATTGAGAATGTACAATCAAACTCTCACAAAGCCACTAGGAAAGTGTATCATGAAGATCACCAACCCAGAAAACAAGATGACATATGACATCGAATTTCATGTCATCAAAGAAAACTTGACACCACTTCTTAGCAGGAAATCAGCAGAGCAGATGCAGCTGATTGTAACGGAAGTTTACACTCTACACTCGCCACATCCGGAACAGGAAGTTACCTTGGTCCATACGGGTTTTTGGAAAGGGATACTTAAGCTCGTGCGTGCCGCACGAGCGGCAGTCAGCGTCTGGCTCCGGGGACAGGCTTGCTGGAATTTGTGCACATGTGCGTTCGGTATATGGTAAGATAATTGCATTAGTAGTAGTTTGTTCTTTTTATTTGCCCAGTCACACCATTTTTTTTTTCTGTGTAGGTTATCATGTTTGTTATAATGGGATAGATTTAGCACGTAGCTTAGTAATATTTTTGTTGGAAATTGTGTGCCAGTGTTGGTTAGGCTAAAGAAGTTTCAAAACTTTGGACCCCGTGTGTCAACCGAGTGTGTTAGATATGTTCGAGGACTGTGACTAGTGAAAGCGTTTGATGCCACCGTGTCTATCGTTCGATATTGGTGTTTCTATTGGTTTGTAACCAGTTGCGTTTGAACTTGTAACACAGGTATATCGTTCGATATTAGTACGTCCATTGGTTTGTAACCATTTGTGTCTGAACATGTAACACATGTATACTGGTCGGTAATATTTCCATTGGTTTGTAACCAGTTGTGTATGAACTTGAACCGCCCGTATACTGGTCGAAAATACTTCCATTGGTTTGTAACCAGTTGTGTATGAACTTGAACCGCCCGTATACTGGTCGAAAATACTTCCATTGGTTTGTAACCAGTTGTGTATGACCATGTAACACATGTATACTGGTCGATAATATTTCCATTGGTTTGTAACCAGTTGTGTCTGAACATGTAACACATGTATACTAGTCGGTAATACTTCCATTGGTTTGTAACCAGTTGTGTCTGAACATGTAACACATGTATACTGGTCGATAATATTTCCATTGGTTTGTAACCAGTTGTGTCTGAACATGTAACACATGTATACTGGTCGGTAATACTTCCATTGGTTTGTAACCAGTTGTGTCTGAACATGTAACACATGTATACTGGTCGATAATATTTCCAGTGGTTTGTAACCAGTTGTGTCTGAACATGTAACACATGTATACTGGTCGGTAATACTTCCATTGGTTTGTAACCAGTTGTGTCTGAACATGTAACACATGTATACTGGTCGGTAATATTTCCAGTGGTTTGTAACCAGTTGTGTCTGATCATGTAACACATGTATACTGGTCGGTAATACTTCCATTGGTTTGTAACCAGTTGTGTCTGAACTAGAAACTCATGTATATCATTTGCAAATACTTGAAAATTGTAATAAATCAGTATGTGGAATAATTTTGTAGTTTGTCCCTTGTTTAGGATTTAAGCATTACTCTCTCACTCAGAGTGCCACTCAAACTGGGAGAACCTCTTGTTTGAATTTTTTGTAAGCGTAACAAGAGTTTATGCAAACTCTTGAGGCGGGAATGCGGCTGTGGAAGTAAATCGCTTACACTGATCACTGTTAACTACCGCAACTTTTAACAAATCAACAACATCACCACAGATACCATGCTGTCAAACTTTAATGATGTTTTCAGCAAAAGCTCCCAAGGTACTTTCCAGGAGTAGTTCACCTACATGTGAAGGAAGGTATTATGCCGTCTCAGTGCCCACCAAGAAAAGTTCCTATCGCTGTGAAGCCCAAGCTGAAGGAAGAACTCGACCGGCTTGTCAAGCTTGGCGTACTGACACCTGTTACTGAGGCCCACAGAGTGGTGTTCCCAAATATCAGTCCAGGTGAAGAAAACTGGCCAATTGAGGGTATGTGTTGACCCCAAATCTCTTAATGAAGCTCTCCAACGGGAAAGATACCCGTGACCGACTATAGAAGATGCACTGCCAGAGATTGCTAAAGCCAGAGTGTAAAGCAAAGTTGATCTAACCCATGGTTACTGGCACTGCGTACTGGATGAAGAGAGCAGTTACCTTACCACGGTTAAAACACCTTTCGGAAGGTACCGATGGTTAAGGCTTCCTTTCGGAACAAAGGTTAGTTCTGAAATATATTCAAGCAAGGGACTGGGTGCAGCGTTGTTACAACAAGGGAGACCGCTAGCGTATGCTAGTAGAGCACTGTCTGATACTGAATGTGGTTATGCTCAGATCGAGAAAGAGTGTCTTGCTATTGTCTTCGCCCTGGAGAAGTTCCACCAGTATACTTTTGGCAGACCAACAATCGTAGATTCAGACCACAAACGTCTCGAGGCTATTCTTCGGAAACCTCTGTACAAGGCACCCAAAGACTTCAGTCCATGATGTTGAGACTCCTTCAGTACGGCATAGATATTGTGTACAGACCAGGAAAACAGATGTACCTGTCGGATATGCTCTCCAGAGCATACACCAACTCAATCACAAGTTCCAGTAAACCCGACACGTTCTCAACGGGGAATGCAGTCGGACATCTGAGAGTCAGTCCTGAAAAACTAGAAGAATTGCATAACGCAACACGAGAAGATGAGACAATAAACATTGTCAAGTCTGTAATCCTAAGGGGATGGCCTGAAAATAAGAAAGAATTACCTGAATCACTTGCTCCATACTGCTCTGCTAGAGATGAATTCACTGTGCACGATGGTCTGGTGTTCAAAGGAGAACGCATTGTTGTACCTGAGAACATGAGAACACAAGTCAAATCTCTCCTCCATTCATCTCATCTCGGGAAAGAAAGTATGCTAAGAAGAGCTTGAGAGTGTGTGTATTGGCCTGGCATGACCGACCAGATCAAGCAGATCACAGAATCTTGTGAAGCCTGTCAGACATACAGTAGAGCTCAACAGAAGGAATCTCTGATGAGTATTGAAGCCAACTATCTGTGGGAGATAGTAGGGACAGATCTGTTCACGTTTGAGGATCGTGAATACCTTCTTACTATTGACTACTTCAGTGGATTCTGGGAAGTTGATTATCTTCCGAAAACTAACTCATTAGCTGTGATTAAGGCACTGAAAATACACTTCTCAAGACATGGCATTCCAAACCAGCTCATCTCTGAAAATGGTCCACAGTTCGTGAGCGAAGGGTTCTCATCATTCACAGAAGTATGGGACATTGTACATTGTACCAGTTCTCCTAGACATCCAAACGCCAACAGCAAAGCAGAATCGGATGTGAAAGCAGCCAAAACAATGATGAGCAAGTGCAAGAGTTCGAAGATGGATCCCTATCTCTGTTGGCTCAGACTTCGGAATACTCCGACTCAGAACACGGGGACTAGTCCGACTCAGAACACGGGGACTAGTCCGACCTAGAAGTTGTTCAGTCGAAGGACTAGATCACTAATGCCAATGTCAGAAGAACTGCTGATGCCTGGAAACCACAGTGACTACCTGAATGATCGCAGATCAATAGAGAGTGCCCAGAGAAAAAGATCTCAGTCCTACAACAGACTTGCGAGAGACTTATCTCCCTTGGAGGTCGGAGATATGGTTCGCATGAAACCCTATCGACTAAGACAGACAGAGTGGGAGAAAGGAACTGTGAGTAAACGACTTGACGAACGCTCTTATGAAATCGAGGGTGAGAATGGTTCCTACAGAGGAAATAGAGTACACTTGAGAAAATCAAGTGAGACCAATCCTCCTACTCCTGTCCCAAAGCTGATTGCTGCAGCGGAGACCGGTGTAAGACCAGATATTACACCCGTGACTCAACACTTAACAAATGTGAAGTCACCTGACCCTGTCTCAGTACATGAGACGAGCAGACCCAAATCTCAGGTAATACCTGTACCTGAAGTTCCAGACAACCCGAGACGATCTACCAGACACACAAGACGCCTGCCTACCTCAAAGACTTTGAGGTGTCCATGGAGTAGATCAACGACCTGATGTTCCTGTTCAAATTGACTGTTAATTGATAATTGTGTTCAGCGTTCATGAATTTGCAAAAGACTGTAACTTGTGTTAATCTTTGGTGAATAAGCTCTTCAGTAATAACTCATTAAGTTCATTACCTTTCTTGGTAATCTTGGGGCGGTCGGGTAGCCTAGTGGTTAAAGAGTTCGCCCGTCACGCCGAAGACCCGGGTTCGATTCCCGACATGGGTACAATGTGTGAAGCCCATTTCTGGTGTCCCCCGCCGTGATATTGCTGGAAAATTGCTAAAAGCGGCGTAAAACCATACTCACTCACACTCACTCTTGGTAATCTTAATCATTGTATTAATCACTAGTACAAGTGATGCTTTATTTGCTCCTGTTCTACGTTAAAGTTTTAAAGCTTTTCCAAAACGGGAGGATGTTACAATATCTGCCACGGCCCGGTTAACGGTGCCCTGCATGGAACTATGGCCTGTCCGGATTTTACTGCACCCCGCACTTCCGTTAGTAAATGGCTGACTGCCGAACCTAGCTCTCTCTCACTCTCTTGCTTTGATGTGGGCTTTACACCCCCACAAGCTATTGAAACACGTGTGCAACGTGAACTACTGGAAATCACAAATGCCGCTATATGACGAATGCGGCTGTACCACAGGGTTCGAGTATACTAGGCCTGAAGTATGTACCATGTCATTACCCAAAGTGTCCTCCCTCATGTATCCATGTCAGTTTGACCTCTCATTCATAAGACAACGGCTGACAGTCGACTACCACTAATTAACAAAGGCCCCAATACCACAACATCTAATTAATGTTTAGGACCTTGTCTCTTGCTATCACAAAGGCCATCACAATAGAATGCATTCTTAATTTCCCAAACAGGTGTAACTGGTGAGCAACCAAGATGTGTATCTTATTCTTCCAACTGAATGACCGAGAGGAATGTGGCGCCTACCGCCTAGTTCTTGCCAACAACCGAGATGAGTACTGGACTCGACCCACATCAACAGCAGCGTACTGGGGGGAGAAGGACAACTGCCTCAGCAGTAAGACATGTTCAACATAACCACTGTGCCAATTAATATTGAATTTCACCTGGTTTCTTTTGTTACCACAATATAAACACTATTTCAGACACATGGGTCAGATTCTGTTTATTATCATCCAAAATCGTTCTTCCAATTTTTATGCCACTGACCTTAAAGGGAGGGTGTTTAGTTATACCAAGGAATTCTGTAAGTCCATCTGTCCGTCCGTCCGTCCTTCCGTCCTTCCGAGGTAATTTTTTGTAAGACCCATAACTCGAAAACTACTGCATAGATTCATTGAAACTTGGTGAACTCTTTCTATGCCGAAAGATTCTTTACAAATTTAAGGAAACTTTCAATAGAAATAGAGCAGTGCTACATTTTGATTTTGGTATGTGTATTTTCTGAACAAATATTATTTTCTTTCTTGTTTTGAACATAGAATTTTGTTTTTCTTCAGCATTTGTGCAACCTTAACTTGATTCCGATACTTTGATTTTCTTAGAAAATATTGCTCTTTTTCGTGTTTTGAACTTAGAAGTATGTAGGGAGTCAAAGTCGGGGGTATTAGTGAGCCCTGCTCACTCTTTGCCTTGTTTCAGGTTGTAAATGAATTTGTAAATGTTGGATTAAATTTCCAATGAAGGAAATGATTATGATATATGTGATGAAGTTCACTTAAATTGTGATTTTTTTTATCAATGATGTATTTCTTAGTAGACTAGTGTAGCAGAATGTAAAATAGTATGTATTTTAACTTCTATATTTTAAACTTAAATAATTAAATAATTGAGTTAAGTATGGTAATAGGTCCTTAAGCTAACCTGAGCACTCTCTACTAATCCTTAGGTAAAGTACGGGGTATAGTTATGTAAGGTCTTTAGTGATCTGGTCCAGCCACAGCTTGGCCAGTGATTGCCTTTTCTATTGTTTCTGTAGCATGTGACCAGGTTTTTAGCTTTAAACACTTCAATATTTCTCTTCTCTGGTCACTGCTGCGTTACAACTCTGCATGATTCACTGCACTGCACTAATTGGGGTAAGTTAATTTAGACTTCTGTAGTATTTATATTCATCATAAGGAGGTTAGGATCTGATATTTTAGTCTTGTTGAGTACACTTTTATCATTTTAATTGCATATTTCTTATATAATATAATTTGCAGTATGATCCACATGATACGCAATGTTGTAAATATATTACTTATTCTTCAAAGTCATGATACGTTAGTGAGTAGTGTGATACTAATTACACTAGCCATGACTTAATGTTAAGCAACCATATTGTTATAAGGTGCTTTCAGTAATTTATATAGTTTATAGCTTGAAGCTGTATCTATTATAATAGATTTATCATTAGCAATAATTTATAGCTTACAGCTATAAATGTAATAATATATTGTACAGTATTTTAGTACACTAAGTCTTGTATGAGTTAGTTGATGATTATGTACATAGTTCTATGAAAGTATTAGTAAATATGTACTGCTGTAGTGCATATAAATATTAGGTTTATATTACTGTGTGTGAATGTGTGAGAGAGAGAAAGCGTCTGTGTGCGTATTATATACATTTTACTTAATTGTGTCATTTCATTATTAGGCATAGAGGCACATATAAAGCCATACTGTTGGCACTGACGTGATGAGCCTGCGTCCCTGAGACGAGGGAAATTCTTTCAAGGTTCAAATCTGATGCTTTTTTTAGCGTTTGAAGTAACATACCATTCCTGTTAGTTAAAATTGTGTTCTGTGAAAAGCTAAGTTGTCATTTACCGTTAAGTTTACCATTGAGTTTACCATTGAGTTTACCATTGTTGTTTGTGTGTTGTTTCTGAGTAGGCTTGGACCAGAAGCCGGGGAGAGAGGGTGGGATTTGGCTGGGGATCAACAAACAGGGCAAGATTGGAGTTCTTCTGAACATACTCGAAGAACACCTCCCCAACAGGAAAGGAAGAGGTAACACTTGTCAAAGTTCCTGTACTTATATAACATTGAGTCTTCACACAACTCTGATCGATTAGTTGTATCATATGATGTAGCATTATAATGGCACAATCCCAATCATATTCTTTCTTGACTGGTACGTGTGTCAAGATTAGTTACAAAGGATTTCTTATGAGGACATTTTAAATATTGTGATTATGCAATTCTATTTATAGAATAGCATGATGGAAGTTTGGTGAGAGCCTTTCCCTTCCCCACAATGAAGAGTTGGTAGCCTAGTGGTTAAAGCGTTAGCTCGTCACGCCGAAGACCCGGGTTCAATTCCCGACATGAATACAATGTGTGAAGCCCATTTCTGGTGTCCCCCGCCGTGAAATTGCTGAAATATTGCTAAAAGCGGCGTAAAACCGAACTCACTCACTCACTCACTCACTTTGTTTGTTTGTTGTTTAACGCCGCACTGAGCGATATTCCAGCTATATGAAGGTGGTCTGTAAATAATGAAGGATCAGACCATCCAGTGATTGTCATCATGTGCATAGATCTACACAATTGGGATACGACAACATGCATCAACCAAGTCTGCGAGCCTGTCCACCCGATCACGTTAGTCCCCTCTTACGACAAGCATGGGGTGCTGAAGACCTACTCTACTCCAGATCTTCATAGGGGCAGCCTCGTGGTTAAAGTGGTGGCTCACCCCTCGAAACACCCAGGTTCTATTCCCCACATGGGTATAATTTGTAAAGCCCATTCTTGATACGAAATTACTGAAAGCAACATGAAACCACTATTCTAGCTGGCAAAGAGTTTTACTTCAGGGTTCTTGGCGAGGGATTTCATAGCCTCGGACACATGTGCTGAAACGTTCCTGCAAGACCTGTCTAAAGACTTAGTCACCTCCCAGTATAACGGATTCCACCTTGTTCTCCTTGAAGCAGGGTATGTAGATTTAAGTAGATCTTCATGATGCCCAGAAAATATTAAATCTGTGGTCAATTGGTGTGCTGTATATTGTGCAATGTTGACACCCTTAGTTATGCCAGGATCTGCTGATCATGTTTCGATTCCCAGTTTCACTCAGACTTTCATCACTGGTTTGTCAGCACCATTCTCATGGCTTCCATCATAGTGCTAAACACTGTGTCCTGAGTCACGCCATCATGCAACTGAATACAATCGAGACACTCTCGCAACATTTGTATTATGGTTTTCAAAAATAATTCATGATGATATTTAGATGTCATTTACCATTTTTCAACAAATTTGGTTTTAAAATGTTTTGCAAATATTCAGGGTATTCCGAATGGACCAAAGTTGCTCATAGTTGTCATAAAAGATGCCTAAATGGGGATCAGGTGGTCAAGCCGTGGCTTTGATGATTGCCCATCACTGTATCATTGTGCCCTGATTGTGTTTCATTTTGCCCTGATTGTGTATCATTGTGCCCTGATTGTGTATCATTGTGCCCTGATTGTGTATCATTGTGCCCTGATTGTGTGTATTAGAGCTGATTGTGTTTCATTGTGCCCTGATTGTGCGCATAATTGCTGATTACATAACATTGTGCCCTGATTGTGTGGATTAGTGCTGATTGTGTGTCATTGTGCCCTGAAAGTGTGGATTAGTGCTGATTGTTTATCATTGTGCCCTGATTGTGTGGATTAGTGCTGATTGTGTGTCATTGTGCCCTGAAAGTGTGGATTAGTGCTGATTGTTTATCATTGTGCCCTGATTGTGTGGATTAGTGCTGATTGTGTATCATTGTGCCCTGATTGTGCGTACCATGGCTGATTGCATATCACTGTGCCCTGATTGTGTGGATTAGTGCTGATTGTGTATCACTGTGCCCTGATTGTGTGGATTAGTGCTGATTGTGTATCACTGTGCCCTGATTGTGTGGATTAGTGCTGATTGTGTATCATTGTGCCCTGATTGTGTGGATTAGTGCTGATTGTGTATCACTGTGCCCTGATTGTGTGGATTAGTGCTGATTGTGTATCACTGTGCCCTGATTGTGTGGATTAGTGCTGATTGTGTATCACTGTGCCCTGATAGTGTGTATTAGTGCTGATTGTGTATCACTGTGCCCTGATAGTGTGTATTAGTGCTGATTGTGTATCACTGTGCCCTGATTGTGTGTATTAGAGATGATTGTGTATCATTGTGCCTTGATTGTGTGGATTAGTGCTGTTTGTGTTTCATTGCTGATTGTGTGTATTAGTGCTGATTGTGTATTAGTGCTGATTGTGTGTATTAGTGCTGATTGTGTATTAGCCCTGATTGTGTGTATTAGTGCTGATTGTGTATTAGTGCTGATTGTGTATTAGTGCTGATTGTGTGTATAAGTGCTGATTGTGTATTAGCCCTGATTGTGTGTATTAGTGCTGATTGTGTATTAGTGCTGATTGTGTATTAGTGCTGATTGTGTGTATAAGTGCTGATTGTGTGTCATTGAGTCCAGGTCATGTGTATCATTGTTTGTTCTTTCATTCTGTCATTGATGAACAGTGACCATGTTCCACGGACACACAACATTTTCCATTATACTTGTGGTTGGTGATGTGCAAACAAATAATTCTTCTTCTGTTTATTTTTGATACAATCTCATTAAAGTCAGATCTTATACTATGATATGATACCTCTCTGCATTAAGATCTGATACCCCCCACCCCTACACACTATTTGGCTGAAATAATGCTGTGAACACACAATGCCAATGAAATAATGCTGATGCAACATTACAGTTTAAGGCACTCACTCACTCTATTAATCCCTCCAGAGAAGGTTGTCAGCTGACCTCCCAATCTAAGTAACAACAACTGTTTAAGTTCATTTTTGAAATCAGATATGCTGATCTGAATGCTTTCACCCGCTCATACAGAGATGCAATGCTGATTAGTAACTTATTTAGTTGTATGAAAGTAGTATGATTTCAATGTCTCTTAAAGCAGTTGCAGTTCTCTTTTACTCTGCTATTTCAGAGGCCCACATCCGCTGGCGATGTACCTGACAGAGAGTTCTGTAGAAGAGAGAAGAATGCAAAGGCTGCCACTCGGAGGTAACCAGGGTTGTGTTGTACATCCTCTAGTGTCAGTGGCACAGTCATCTTCGTGAGGCAATAGAGTGAACTGACTTTAAAAGTCCAGTTTCCACCCTTGTCGAACAAGGCTGGAATACCTGCGCTCGATTGTAGCGCCACCAGTGGCCATTACAAGTTATGTCCCTTCTAATCCTCTCCTATGGACCAATCAGATTCCACCTCTTGTATATTGTAAAAAAATGGCGGCGCCCAGTCAAGATGATATGATCAATAATCAAGATCTATACTGAACCGCAAAAGAAACGTCACTATAGATAGAATTAGATATATGAGAAACCTTATTTGTCCAAACACTGTAAACATACTTTGAGACATATTAAGAAGATGAAACATGGCAAAACTGATCATCAAGGTTGAAATTAAAGTGTCAAATTTTCTTAAAGTGAAACTCAAGACTAGTCTCTGAGAAAATGGCATCACAAGTCAGTATCTTGTGTGTCTGCCATGTGCATTGAAGACTGCCATGCAACATCGATACATGGAATGGATGAGGCGGTTGATGAAGGCCATAGGCACTTGAGCCCACACTCTGAGGAACGCCTGACGAAGTTCAGCTGCAGTTGTCGGCCTTGGTCGGACGTCATTCAGCCGTCTTTGAATCTCGTCCCACAGGTGCTCAGTGGGATTTAAATCGGGACAGAGGGCAGGCCACTGCATGGTTCTAATGCCATTCTGCTGGAGGAAGTCTCTTGTTGCTCTCACAGTGTGGGCATGGGCGTTGTCATGCTGAAACTCGTGTTTGCCAAATGAGGTATGGCGGTGGTCTCAAGACTTGATCAATGTACCAAGCTGCTGTGACACCATTGCCTCTCCCTGGACCAATGTTCTGGAAGACCACAGGCTGACCCTCTGTGCAAGACCAATTCCTCCCCACACCATGATGCTCGGACCATCCCATGAGTCTCTCTAAACAACACAAGCATCCGAATAACGTTCCCCACGGTGTCGCCAGGCTCTCTCTCTGCCATCTGCTGTTGAGATAAAGTAATGGCTCTCGTCTTCTCCACTGTGCTGGCGCCAATGCTGGTGCTGTGTTGCCCACTGAAGACGGTCTCGGTGATGACATGGTGTCAGAATGGGTCCTCGGTGTGGCCTGTGACAGTGGAGGTGTCTGCTCGTCAATGGTCAAACGCACGGTGTCCGCACTAATGTGTCGCTGGTGGGTCCCCATGGTCTGTCAACCAGTTTCCACAGCAGTAACAAGCAATCTTGAAGATGCTGTCGCACAATCTGACGATCCTGACATCAGGTTGTGACCCTTGGTCTTCCACTACGTGGTCTGTCATCTGAAGTGTTGGTGGTCTGGTACCTTTGCTGGAGCCTGTATATGGTCCTTACATGGACTTGAAATGCATTGGGTACTTGCCGGGCGGTTTGTCCAGCTTGTAATCGTCCAAGGGCTTGGTGTCGCTGATTTCTTGTCAATCTTGGCATGTGGTAGCAATTCAATAACGAATGAATGTTATCCTCTCTGTTGGGATTTTTTTCGGGCAAAAAATGGGGGAGCTCATGTGCATGGGGTTACCATGGCTGTTGCCGTGATGCGTTTAGGCGATTGGTTTTATTGTCATCTGCTGTGTTTATTTATCATCAAATTTCATTTTTCCGTACAAGATAATGTTAAATTTGAGAAACTTTGACAAAATATCCAGAAACTGATGTGTTCTTGACATATAACAAATGTTATATTGGGATAACACTCTCTTAGTAAAGCACAGATTCTCGTACCTTTTTGGGTTGAGACCCCTCTAAGGTTTGAACCCACACTGCCAGAGTGAGGCACCTAATCGACAGCACACAAAGTCAGTGATCCACCCACTCAGCTACCGAGGCTTCCACAAAAATGAAAGTCAGACAACTGGTAGTCTAGATCATGTACTTTGATTACCCCTCTGGCAAGTGTAAATTGACACGTTCCCATATCCATGTTACATTTGACCACTTTCTAAATGGGGTGCGGTCGGGTAGCTGACATGGGTACAATGTGTGAAGCCCATTTCTGGTGTCCCCCGCCGTGTTATTGCTGGAATATTGCTAAAAGCAGCGTAAAACCACACTCACTCACTCACTTTCTAAATGGCATTGTGTGTTCATTCTTGACACAGTTGCATGGGAAACAACAAGTAGGGTATAGGTGTATCATTCACTTGCTGGAGAAAGGAGAGGTTAAGACAAGGTAAGCCATGACAATGAGACCAGAAGTTTTTGCTGCACAAATGTTTTAAAAAAAATAATGACTCTCCCCCAATGCTTGTCTTAATTAGCTGACCCTCCCGATGTCCTTTTTTCAAGACCCTCCCTGAAAAGACAAATGCAATAGCACTGTTTGTTTTATTATAAAATCTCCATTTTCACATGACCATCCCCAAGTATGTGTATCGTGGTTCATGACCCTCCCCTAGAGATATTCATATTTAGTGGTGACCCTCCCCTGAGTCCCTTTGATCTACCACTCCCCATAATAAATGACCACTCCCCATGTACAGCCGGATATCACAATATTACCAACACATCAAATACAAGGATGGGGACATTGTGATTGGTTTTGTGTTAAAGTTTGGTTTGAGGGATTTTTTTATTTGCCCTTTTTAGATCCCCATGCCTTTGGAAACTCAGCTGTTGATAGGCCTTGGCAAAAGATTGAACAAGGGCGCCCTCGGTTTCAGAAGATCATTGAAGAAAACCGAAGTCCTGAAGCCAAGAACAAGCTGGTAGATTCCTTGATGGATTTCCTCAACGACAAAGGACAGTAAGTGTTGGTGAGGTGACTGTGGGGTAGACATTCATGCATTTGCACTTTAATACGGACCCAAAGTTTAGATAAATTTCAAGTTGGTCTGTTATTTAGTTTAGAAATTGTGCATGCGTCATGTGATAACAAAACATACAACTTTATGGATAACAGCCTCTGGAGTGTCGCAAACAGCGACATTTTGATGTAGATTCTTACACCGTTATCAAACTGGAGTGATGTGATGAGTAATAATATGCTATTATTGGGAATTACAAGATTTACCCTGTTCAAATAAGCGCTCCATGTCCGACTTCTCGACCGATCTGTGAGTAATTGATATGAGTGCCACTACTAAGACAGAAGACAGCAGCCAAGAGGATCAGTTGGTAACTGTTATTGTAGAAGTTTTAGTTTCATCAATGTTTGAACTATGTTTGTTCACAACTGCTTTAACTTGTGTTTAATAAGTACTAATAACACTCATGGTCGGACAAGTCCATTTGATGCACAGGTGGGTATTTCCCACACATTCTCCCAATCCTCACTTTGTTCTTAGCGCTTTATAGCATAACTATCTTACATTAAATGTTACAGATATACAGCAGACAGTGTTCTTGGAGCGAAATGTCAAGACCTGGGCATTCCCACCCACATAAGAGACGAGAGGTCAGCTAACGGTGTGTGGTCGCCATCTATCGTGTGTGGGACAAGTTTAGCAAACTAGGGGTTTGTCATGACGAGAGGTCAGCTAACGGTGTGTGGTCGCCATCTATCATGTATGGGACAAGGTAAGCAAACTTGATGTATGAATTCACGGGTGATGAAGGAACGTAGTGTGTAGAGACCAGAGTTGATGTATGTATTCGCGGGTGATGAAGGAACATAGTGTGTAGAGACCAGAGTTGATGTATGTATTCACGGGTGATGAAGGAACATAGTGTGTAGAGACAGAAGTTGATGTATGTATTCACGGGTGATGAAGGAACGTAGTGTGTAGAGACCAGAGTTGATGTATGTATTCACGGGTGATGAAGGAGCGTAGTGTGTAGAGACCAGAGTTGATGTATGTATTCACGGGTGATGAAGGAACGTAGTGTGTAGAGACCAGAGTTGATGTATGTATTCACGGGTCATGAAGGAACGTAGTGTGTAGAGACCAGAGTTGATGTATTTATTCACGGGTGATGAAGGAATGTAGTGTGTAGAGACCAGAGTTGATGTATGTATTCACGGGTGATGAAGGAACGTAGTGTGTAGAGACCAGAGTTGATGTATTTATTCACGGGTGATGAAGGAATGTAGTGTGTAGAGACCAGAGTTGATGTATGTATTCACGGGTGATGAAGGAACGTAGTGTGTAGGGACCAGAGTTGATGTATGTATTCACGGGTGATGAAGGAATGTAGTGTGTAGAGACCAGAGTTGATGTATGTATTCACGGGTGATGAAGGAACGTAGTGTGTAGAGACCAGAGTTGATGTATTTATTCACGGGTGATGAAGGAATGTAGTGTGTAGAGACCAGAGTTGATGTATGTATTCACGGGTGATGAAGGAACGTAGTGTGTAGGGACCAGAGTTGATGTATGTATTCACGGGTGATGAAGGAACGTAGTGTGTAGAGACCAGAGTTGATGTATGTATTCACGGGTGATGAAGGAGCGTAGTGTGTAGAGACCAGAGTTGATGTATGTATTCACGGGTGATGAAGTAACGTAGTGTGTAGAGACCAGAGTTGATGTATGTATTCACGGGTGATGAAGGAACGTAGTGTGTAGAGGCCAGAGTTGATGTATGTATTCACGGGTGATGAAGGAACGTAGTGTGTAGAGGCCAGAGTTGATGTATGTATTCACGGGTGATGAAGGAATGTAGTGTGTAGAGACAGAAGTTGATTTATGTATTCACGGGTGATGAAGGATTGTAGTGTGCAGAGACCAGAGTTGATGTATGTATTCACGGGTGATGAAGGAACGTAGTGTGTAGAGACCAGAGTTGATGTATGTATTCACGGGTGATGAAGGAATGTAGTGTGTAAAGACAAGGGTTGATGTATGTATTCACGGGTGATGAAGGAACGTAGTGTGTAGAGACCAGAGTTGATGTATGTATTCGTGGGTGATGAAGGAACGTAGTGTGTAGAGACCAGAGTTGATGTATGTATTCAGGGTGATGAAGGAACGTAGTGTGTAGAGACCAGAGTTGATGTATGTATTCACGGGTGATGTAGGAACGTAGTGTGTAGAGACCAGAGTTGATGTATGTATTCACGGGTGATGAAGGAACCTAGTGTGTAGGGACCAGAGTTGATGTATGTATTCACGGGTGATGAAGGAACGTAGTGTGTAGAGACCAGAGTTGATGTATGTATTCGTGGGTGATGAAGGAATGTAGTGTGTAGAGACCAGAGTTGATGTATGTATTCACATGTGATGAAGGAATGTAGTGTGTAGAGACCAGAGTTGATGTATGTATTCACGGGTGATGAAGGAACGTAGTGTGTAGAGACCAGAGTTGATGTATGTATTCACGGGTGATGAAGGAATGTAGTGTGTAGAGACCAGAGTTGATGTATGTATTCACGGGTGATGAAGGAACGTAGTGTGTAGAGACCAGAGTTGATGTATTTATTCACGGGTGATGAAGGAATGTAGTGTGTAGAGACCAGAGTTGATGTATGTATTCACGGGTGATGAAGGAACGTAGTGTGCAGGGACCAGAGTTGATGTATGTATTCACGGGTGATGAAGGAACGTAGTGTGTAGGGACCAGAGTTGATGTATGTATTCACGGGTGATGAAGGAGCGTAGTGTGTAGAGACCAGAGTTGATGTATGTATTCACGGGTGATGAAGTAACGTAGTGTGTAGAGACCAGAGTTGATGTATGTGTTCACGGGTGATGAAGGAACGTAGTGTGTAGAGGCCAGAGTTGATGTATGTATTTACGGGTGATGAAGGAACGTAGTGTGTAGAGACCAGAGTTGATGTATGTATTCACGGGTGATGAAGGAACGTAGTGTGTAGAGGCCAGAGTTGATGTATGTATTCACGGGTGATGAAGGAATGTAGTGTGTAGAGACAGAAGTTGATTTATGTATTCACGGGTGATGAAGGATTGTAGTGTGCAGAGACCAGAGTTGATGTATGTATTCACGGGTGATGAAGGAACGTAGTGTGTAGAGACCAGAGTTGATGTATGTATTCACGGGTGATGAAGGAATGTAGTGTGTAAAGACAAGGGTTGATGTATGTATTCACGGGTGATGAAGGAACGTAGTGTGTAGAGACCAGAGTTGATGTATGTATTCGTGGGTGATGAAGGAACGTAGTGTGTAGAGACCAGAGTTGATGTATGTATTCACGGGTGATGAAGGAACGTAGTGTGTAGAGACCAGAGTTGATGTATGTATTCACGGGTGATGTAGGAACGTAGTGTGTAGAGACCAGAGTTGATGTATGTATTCACGGGTGATGAAGGAACCTAGTGTGTAGGGACCAGAGTTGATGTATGTATTCACGGGTGATGAAGGAACGTAGTGTGTAGAGACCAGAGTTGATGTATGTATTCGTGGGTGATGAAGGAATGTAGTGTGTAGAGACCAGAGTTGATGTATGTATTCACATGTGATGAAGGAATGTAGTGTGTAGAGACCAGAGTTGATGTATGTATTCACGGGTGATGAAGGAACGTAGTGTGTAGAGACCAGAGTTGATGTATGTATTTACGGGTGATGAAGGAACGTAGTGTGTAGAGAGCAGAGTTGATGTATGTATTCACGGGTGATGAAGGAACGTAGTGTGTAGAGACCAGAGTTGATGTATGTATTTACGGGTGATGAAGGAACGTAGTGTGTAGAGACCAGAGTTGATGTATGTATTCACGGGTGATGAAGGAATGTAGTGTGTAGAGACCAGAGTTGATGTATGTATTCGTGGGTGATGAAGGAACGTAGTGTGTAGAGACCAGAGTTGATGTATGTATTCACGGGTGATGAAGGAACGTAGTGTGTAGAGGCCAGAGTTGATGTATGTATTCACGGGTGATGAAGGAACGTAGTGTGTAGAGACCAGAGTTGATGTATGTATTCACATGTGATGAAGGAACGTAGTGTGTAGAGACCAGAGTTGATGTATGTATTCACGGGTGATGAAGGAACGTAGTGTGTAGAGGCCAGAGTTCATTTATGTATTCAGGGTGATGAAGGAACGTAGTGTGTAGAGACCAGAGTTGATGTATGTATTCACATGTGATGAAGGAGCATAGTGTGTAGAGACAGAAGTTGATGTATGTATTCACGGGTGATGAAGGAACGTAGTGTGTAGAGACCAGAGTTGATGTATGTATTCACGGGTGATGAAGGAACGTAGTGTGTAGAGACAGAAGTTGATGTATGTATTCACGGGTGATGAAGGAGCGTAGTGTGTAGAGACCAGAGTTGATGTATGTATTCACGGGTGATGAAGGAACGTAGTATGTAGAGACCAGAGTTGATGTATGTATTCACGGGTGATGAAGGAATGTAGTGTGTAGAGACCAGAGTTGATGTATGTATTCACGGGTGATGAAGGAACGTAGTGTGTAGAGGCCAGAGTTGATGTATGTATTCACGGGTGATGAAGGAGCGTAGTGTGTAGAGACCAGAGTTGATGTATGTATTCACGGGTGATGTAGGATTGTAGTGTGCAGAGACCAAAGTTCATGTATGTATTCACGGGTGATGAAGGAATGTAGTGTGTAGAGACCAGAGTTGATGTATGTATTCACGGGTGATGAAGGAACGTAGTGTGTAGAGACCAGAGTTGATGTATGTATTCGCGGGTTATGAAGGAACGTAGTGTGTAGAGACCAGAGTTGATGTATGTATTCACGGGTGATGAAGGAATGTAGTGTGTAGAGACCAGAGTTGATGTATGTATTCACGGTTGATGAAGGAATGTAGTGTGTAGAGGCCAGAGTTGATGTATGTATTCACGGGTGATGACGGAACGTAGTGTGTAAAGACCAGAGTTGATGTAAGTATTCACGGGTGATGTAGGAATGTAGTGTGTAGAGACAGAAGTTGATGTATGTATTCACGGGTGATGAAGGAACGTAGTGTGTAGAGACCAGAGTTGATGTATGTATTCACGGGTGATGAAGGAACGTAGTGTGTAGAGACCAGAGTTGATGTATGTATTTACGGGTCATGAAGGAATGTAGTGTGTAGAGACCAGAGTTGATGTATGTATTCACGGGTGATGAAGGAACGTAGTGTGTAGAGACCAGAGTTGATGTATGTATTCGCGGGTGATGAAGGAACGTAGTGTGTTGAGACCAGAGTTCATGTATGTATTCACGGGTGATGAAGGAACGTAGTGTGTAGAGACCAGAGTTGATGTATGTATTCACGGGTGATGAAGGAATGTAGTGTGTAGAGACAGAAGTTGATGTATGTATTCACGGGTGATGAAGGAGCGTAGTGTGTAGAGACCAGAGTTGATGTATGTATTCACGGGTGATGAAGGAACGTAGTGTGTAGAGACCAGAGTTGATGTATGTATTCACGGGTGATGAAGGAACGTAGTGTGTAGAGACCATAGTTGATGTATGTATTCACGGGTGATGAAGGAACGTAGTTTGTAGAGACCAGAGTTGATGTATGTATTCACGGGTGATGAAGGAACGTAGTGTGTAGAGACCAGAGTTGATGTATGTATTCACGGGTGATGAAGGAACGTAGTGTGTAGAGGCCAGAGTTGATGTATGTATTCACGGGTGATGAAGGAACGTAGTGTGTAGAGACAGAAG